GCATAGGAAAGTTTGATTCAATTTACCTTGTTTGGAGAGCTGAGTATCCTAGGGCTTCTCATACTTTTCCTAAGAAGTAGAATGAAGGTTAGCTCTGTGTGTTCCATAAAGGCATGGCACACAATGCTGATTTTATGTTGTTTGTTTAACCAGAATCTCTTTATCCATTGATAGAACTTAGAGGAAGCTCTGAGCACACCTACATCACAGCATTTCAGAATGGTAGATAGATAGTTCTGAAGAATTCATAAGCTTTCTGTTGATGCTATGAATACAGCTTGCTCTAAGGTTAGTGACTGCGGCTTCGATGTTCTACCCTTTGTATTATTGTCACATGACAGATTTACACATTCTAGGAATTGGGTAATTCACTTGTGTTTGGTAAATAGCTCTGTATCTGCTGCAGCATGTAGTGTACCTCAGAGTGTAGCATTTCTCGGCTTCCGGGTTCTGCTTTCCATGAGCTGATTAGATTAGAGCTGCCCACACATTTTTCTGAGCCCGGCTGTAAAGATAGTAAGGAATGACATGGTGGGTGGATGGACTATAGTCAGGAACCAAAATTACAGTTCTCATATATGAATCTCTTAGGATTTTAAACGGAATGAAGATCGTTAAGGCAACATGATAACGTTCCACTGAATTCAATTGTGCTTTTGTTAGGTAAATTCAGACTGACTACTAGATGGCAGCAAATGTAGGTCATTTAGCATAACCCCACAGGGATCAGCAGCAATGGGCACTGGCTTGAAAATTATGGATGTGACTGGGAGATCAAAGCCCTACCCTCTTTTTAATGTGTTTTGCATGCATATAAAGAGGAGCAGGACTTTGCTTGCCTGGTTGTGTTTTCCAGTATGACAGTTGCTGTGAGTGCCTCTGCACAACATCACTGCCTTCATGTAGTCTTGAATGGGGCTGGTGAATAATAAAGATGTTAAGTCATTTAATTTATTTTTTTAAAAAAAATAGAGATAAAATCATATTGCTAAGTTTCTGAAGTATATCTGAAGTCTTGAAAAATGCATTGATTTAATGCTATTTGTCAGTTCTGGGGTCCAGTATTGTCCCCCTCACCATTTTGCTTTAGGAAAGGACTGCAATTTTGGGGCATACAATGGAAAAGAGGCTTTACCGTGGATCTCAAAGCATCTCTCTTCCATGCATTTGTGTTGAGTGGCAGATTCATGAGAAAAAAATGGGCACATCATAGTTATATACTGTATGTAAATGTAAAACACACAACACATTAGAAGCCCATTAGGAGCACCAGTTTTATAACTGAACAGCAACAGCAAAACATTTCTACCCATTTAATTATCAGTAAAGCAAGAAAGTTAAAAAGATATTCTCTGCTAAAAGCAGTGATCTTCTTTTACATCCAGTCAATACGCATAGTGGAAATTAATTTCTGTATAGCTGATAATGAAATGTAGACATTAAGATTTATAAAATATTTATATTTCAGGTAGTAAACAGTCAGTGCCATCAGAAACAATTACAGTATGCAGATGCCAGATGTCTGTGTATAATAAAGGCTGAGAGTTGACTTAAATAATTTCATAGGCATGTTCATGCAGGGATTTTTTTGGGCAATGCTGGCAATGCTGCTTTGCTACTGCCTTTTTTCTAGAATATTATTTCACTTCCCAATGAAAACTACAGCCTTGAGATCCTGTGTAGTCTCCTATCCAAATATTAAAGAGACCTGATTCTGCTTAGCTTCATAAGTCGGAAAAAATGTTGCTACCTGCGTAAGGCATCTATGTATTCACATATATTTCAACATATGACTAAATAACCCCTTTATGGATAACTGCCTTGTTGTGGCGAAGGGGCTTGCGTAACTCAATGAAGCTATGAGCTATGCCATGCAGGGCCACCCAAGACGGACAGGTCATAGTAGAGAGTTCTGACAAAATGTGATCCACTGGAGAAGGAAATGGCAAACCACTACAGTATCTTTGCCATGAAAACCCCATGGACAGTACTAAAAGTCCATGGGGTCGCGATGGGTCGGACACGACTTCGCAATTAACAACAACAACAATGACTAAATAAGGGAGAATATTTGTAGCTCAGGGTTGAAATGAGGGGTCCTTGGTCTCTCTGAGCTGGCTTGTTTTCTTGCAGATGTTTCATTACCTTAATTGGTAACATCATCAGTGCTGATGTCTGCAAGAAAGCAAGCAAGCTCAGAGAGCACCAAAGACCTCTCATATGACTAAATAAAGGGCAGTGTAGTCTTAGTCCCTAACTCATGCATTCTTCATTCTTAGATCATTAGACCACAGATTCCATGTTTTTGTCAGCATGATGGCTAACAGCCAATACCTCTGAGGGACTGAAGAAGATTGTTCTAATTCAACGTTGTTAATAATTTATTTTCTTTACAGTGGCATATGCATTGGTGTTTATAAGGATAATAATACAGTTTGGCAGTCTGTTGCAATTCAGGAATCATGTACACATACAGCCCACACCCGTATTCCTTCTGAAGATTTCTTCAATATGTGTGCGTATGTGTGCGTGTATGTATTTGCGTGCCCACAGACTGCTGATGTGGAGCTACTGAAAGTATAATTTTACCTGAGGAGAAAGGGAGGAAGGTGAATGCCTTGGTTGTTAAGGCTACCTGCAAGATGTACAGACTTTTAAGAACTTGTGAACAGACCAGAGAATCATTTTGCTCAGTAGAAATATATTAAAAACATAAAAACAGACTCCCAGCGCAGAAACAAAAAATGCCTCTTTTGTTCTGCCATTCTGTTCCAGCCTATTTTAATAGAACCTTATATTTTCTCAAGCTCCTTTGCATGTTAAGCAAATAATTGGCATGTATTGTAAAAAATATTCATTTCGGACTGCTCTTTATGAAAAGCACAGGACTGGATGTGCAGCAGTGCAAATCACTGCTTTAGCCAATGGTGCTGAGGCATGCTAGTTACCTCTCTCTGGAAAGATGCCCTGTTAAAGCTGTGTGGGAGAGAAATATACTTCATCAGCACCAGGAGATTACAGTATATTGCAAAAAAAAAAAAAATGAGATAGATACTTGGACTCACCTTGAAAAATTGGCCAAAAGGAAAGCCAACAGAGGGAAGATAAGGAACTGAAGAAAGGGGGTAAGGAACTATTTGGGGGGGGGTGTCAATGAAAGTCAAGCACATTTTGGTAAGAGAAGGAGACGAATGAAGAGAATATTAGACAGTGAGACATGGCAGATACATCTGTGATGAACCCGGGAAAGATCTTGTTAAATCTCTCAGATCACATGTTTTGCCTCTTTTCCTTGCATATTGGAAATAGAAAATAAGGTATTTTCCTATCCCCCCCCCCTGTATTTCAGACTTTGGAGAAACGAGAAGAATTAAATTAGATGTGCTATTCAATCATGATACTGAGATAGTATTCTACACAATCTGGTGCACTGTGTTGGAATAGAATTCTTATAATAGTACATATATCTGCTGGACATCAGGTTGGTAAAAGCTAGACATAAGCATCTAGTGACTTTCTAATATTTTAATAATTGAACTTCCAGAATCCTTTATCACTGACTGTGCTGTCAATAGATGTTATCAAAAAAAACCAACATCTGGAGAGGATTAGATTGTTGACTTCTAAAGTAAACCACTTGTTATGAGCATGGGGTGGGGTGGGAAGTGACATCTCTTCTAAGAACTTCTCTTAAGATCTCTCTCTCTCTCTCTCTCTCTCACACACACACACACACACACACACGTTTGTAAATATGTAAATATTCATGAACCTAACTCCCCCCCCCCCCTTTCATTCGTCTCCGATTTTCAGACTGCCTGGAGAAGTCCCTCCAGTTCTCTTGGCACAAGTTGCCAGAAGAGGTTTGCTATTGCCTCTTTTCTAGGGCTGAGAGAAAGTATAGTCCTTGACTTACAACTGTTTCTTTAGTGACCTTTTGAAGTTGCAACAACTCTGGAAAAAAATTGATGGATAGTTTTTCACACTTAGGGCATCCTCATGGTCACATGATCAAAATTCAGACATTTGGCAACTGACTCATGTTTATGACAGTTGCAGTGTCCCGGGGTCATGTGCGACCGTCCCTTTTGCAACCTTCTGACAAGCAAAATCATTGGGGAAACTAGATTCACTTAACAACTGCGTTACTAACTTAACTGCAGTGATTCCCTTAACAACTGTGATGAGAAAAATCAAAATGGGACAACATTCACTTAACAAATGTCTCACTTAGCAACAGAATTTGGGCTCAATTGTAATCATAAGTTGAGGATTACCTGTAATTGGCCCAAAGTCACTTAGCTAGCTTTGTGCTATAGATTGCTACCACCTGGATTTAAGATAGGGTCTTTGCACATATTTCTTTAATAGTTTAAATTTGAAGTAGAAGAGGAAGCGAAGTGTGTTTCTATTTGTTTGGAGAGAGAGAGAGAGAGAGAGAGAGAGAGAGAGAGAGAGAGAGAGAGAGAGAGAGAGAGGTCTTAGAAGAAAAGTGAAATGAAGCAAATAGCATAGAAAAGGTATGGGATGATTTCAGGGATAATCATTTTTATTGTGTCTTCTGAATCACACACAATATTTTTATTTAAAAATTAGATAATAAAATCAGGAATCTGATCTTACCGCCATGTAGCATATATAGGAACTAGATTAAGTATGGCGTAGGAGTTGAGGTTTATGGAGCTTTTCAGTAAATTCAATAAAGTTCACAGGATGGTCTTAGAAATTTCTCTTATCCTAGCCATGAGCTTTAGATTAACTGGAGATAACCCTATAAACTGTAAAAATCCCTGAAGAAGCAATCATATCATGATAACCTCCTAATTAACCTGCAGGCTTTATTGACTCTTTGATTCAGAGTTGACTGTTTCTTAGATTTCTAGATGAATAAGTCTCTTTTTTTGGAGAAATGGACAATTGAGACATTAATGAGTTTATGCTGTATGTATTGCTGTTACTGGCAAACAAGTAGTTGCCCTTAAAACTCTCCTAGCAGAAAGTCAGAGTGAGGTCTCCAGGCAGGAAGCACGGCGAAGACAGAAGTTCCTCCTTTCCTGACCCTCTGACCTATGCACAATTAGTACTGGGAAAAAACGAGCTTCATGGTAAGTGGGTGGGTTTTCATTGATAACCAGTTGGCTAGAGTGGGAGCAGCACTGGTCATCCTGGCAACCGCGGTCAGTGATGCTGCTGCTGTGACTTCTCCAGAGTCCTGTCCTGTGAGAGCCATGAAGCTGGCATAAGGAGAAGCGGCTAGTGTTCAGCGAGAGCTGTGAGTTTGCACTTCCATCGTGGCGAGAAAAGATAGAGGAGGTACTGGAGGCATGATGGCAAGTATCACAGCCACGAGTGATTTCGTTGTACCTGCAAATGGAGTAACTGTTGCATATGGAAGAATGGGTCAGGTCCATGAGCATGGCCTCGGAATAGCTGGGAATCAGCTGGCGATTGGTGCAGATGTTCCACTCAAGCTCAGTACTGTCCTGACTGCTTACCCTGGGGATTCGGTATCTATAGAGGGGCTCCTCTGCCACAGGGGGCACGCTGTACTCCATCCCAACAAGTTTCTCCACATGGTAGTGTACGTGTGCAGTCTGATATTCTATGAAGACTCTCAGTGGCCATGAAATCATCATCAAAGCAGCCACCCAGAAAGCATAGTGGGATGTATACCAAGGAAGATGCCCTGGGTCTCCATAAGCCATCATGACTTCTTTGAAGTCTATATTTTTGAGTTTCATGCCTTCTCTGATCTCCATGTAATCATCCAGCCCTTCTATTTCTGTGAAGAAATGAGCTCTCTGTGCTAAGTAAGAATTCTCAGATTCCCTGTTGGCAAAGCTGAAACATTTCGTGAACTTTAGCCTTGTGGTGGAATACCATTCCAGGCCCATGAGTTCTTTAGATATGTCTTTGAATCCACAGTGGGAGTAGTCAAACTCTGCCTCAGCCACATGGGTGTTGACTCTCTCATGGTAAACCTGAGTTGTTGTATAAGCGTCACCATTGCGGTACCGAGTCACTTGCCTTGTCCGTCGGACAAAGTGGTAGCTTATGGCTTTCCACCATATACATGGTGTGGCCTGTTTCATTCTGGCAATTCGGTCATAGACACTTTCCACATCAGCTTTGTATTGAAGTTCACTTTTGGTACGGCAGTGCCAACATTCCACCAAGTAAACCACATAAAGAATAACAAGGAACGCTAATGGAATATACACATAGCCATCCGAACAAGGACTGTCATGGTAAATCATAGACTTGCCTTTGAAAGAACTATCAAAACTGAGCTTAGTGACTTGTGTGAGTTGGCACCAAGCTACAGCCCCCAGGCAACTATATATCAGAATTGAGAGAAGGAGACACTTCCAGTGAGATTCTCTGCACAGTGAAGAGCTCAAAGATTGCTTGATTGGTCTTTGCTGAAAATCAGATAACAGAGAAGAAAAAAGAAAGAACAGAAATGAAAAGAGAGAAAGAGCATTTTTGGTGAAATAATGCAGTAAATAATCTTACACATTTTAAAATTTCACTATTTCAATGATATAAGGCACATCTCATCAAGATTTTCAGGTAGAAGATACCCCAACATTGCAATATGTCCCAGGATGCCTCCTCCAATAAATAAACAAATAATTGCTTTGAAATAATTCAGCAAAGTGCAAGAACTATTGTAAGCACTTTTTACTAAAACTAAGACTTAGTATTGTTTCTAGAAATGTATTATGTAATTATTTTTAAGAAAATATATGTAATTTATCTAGTTACTTGAAAAGTTCTTGGTATACAAGTCTCAGATAACTATACTTTTATACAGTTTTCAGTGTAGGTACATCAACCTAAGTAAAAACTTTCAGTAAATTTAGTGTACCTCTTGGCCTTGAAGTTGGAAAATAGTTTATTCTTGACACAATTGGTATCTCTTCCCTGAGAAATTCTGGCTTACATTTAAAGCCTATGTAAACTTAGTTACTTTTACCTTGCTTAGATTTAGGGGGGGGGCATTATAGGATGTAGAAAACAGCTAATCCAACATGTAGAAAGCTGGAGATTTCACATCTCCTGCTGTCATGTGTCTGATTAACGAAACACTTAAAAGGACTTTCAGGCATATTTTTTCCTAAAAGCATTTATTAAGGTTACAGAGACGTCAGTACAGCATGGTGGAAATGCTTAGGTCTGGCTTCTCTTCCGTTACGCATATACATTCTAAGCATTTCCCCCAACCTTATTTTGGGGTCATGGTTCACATCTTCCAATCAACTTGGAAGATGTGATTTACTTCCGGTTTCTTTTTCCCGGGCTATCCTTATTCTCCTCCCTTTTTCCCTGTTGCCTGGTTTAACTATAAAAATACCAGATAGTTCTGCATATTGTCAAAGCAGGAATATACAGTATTTGCAGCGTTGACACCTGCCTTCACCCAGAAACCTTCTGGGTCTTCACTCCAGGGCCCCTCCCCTGTATGGGGGAGGGGCAGATAGGCATTCTTACTGCCACTATACATCATCTTTGGGGCACCTCACCTAATGTCTTGCCCCTAATCTGGGAGTGTGAGACAGAAAGATTTCTCACACTCTATGTGATATTTTTAAGGTAAAATGAAAAAGTAAAATCATTTCAGTAATGCAACCTCCTGACTGTATAGAGAAAGGTGTGTGTCTAATGGTTTTATCCCTTCCTCCCATTCTTGGGAGAGAGAACAATCTCATAAGAGATTAACAAAATGAAATTTTCAGAACGTGATTAACAAAGTCAAACCCTGCAGCCTGGCAAAAACTGGCAAGCGAGCTATTTCACAACAATAATTTGCTCAAATCCATCCTGCTTTCGTCTGACTATAGTTGTCTATTTTGTGAATAGAAAAAAATGGTTTTATTCAATAATTAAATTTATGCAAATGGTACAAAGGCAGTTAGGTATATCCCATAATTTGGGACATGCGTATGTAACCAAAGTACTGACTTCAACTGTTATAAACCTGTTAGGAGTATCACAAGCCTTCTTCATTTCCACAGCCTAATTTAGGTAGAAAAGTAGCATTCTTGTCACTGTTGCAGCTTGTTGTTGCTTGTTAATCCACTGCAGATCTCTCAGGGATAGATTAAGAGACTGTCATTTCTCTTCGGCCCACTTCTGCTTTAAAGAATCTAATACTTGATGAAATCCTTTAGAAATGTCTCCAAGTTCTTAAATTCTGTTCAGCTTCTTTCAAAATCCAGAGAAGGTAGCCTATATCTTTCTTGTGAAGTCCTAGTCATAATGTATATAAAAAAAAATAGAGTTGCCTTGAACTCCAAGATGGGTAGCAAATAAATGAAATAAATAAGTAAATAAATAAATAAAATAACTATATGAAAATAAGACTGGGCGCACATCCCGAAATGACCACAATTGGAGCAGTTTTTAAACAAACAAAATTGATGGCCAAGTGTCTAAATTGGAGGACCCTTTTGAGTTGAGGGTTCCTGACCAAATGGTCCTTCTGCTCTCTTTGCACTCAGCTAGTTGTAATCATTGTAACTATTCAGAATCAGGTGAAATTGGAAGGTAGTAAGTTTCTATCACATTTGCCAAATTATTTCTAGATAAGATTCTCACATTATTAATATAGATTAGATTAATTGATTATCGATTGGGACATCACTGTCCTAACTGATTCTCAGTATTAGGTCATCTACAATAGTTGTCGAATTTCTCTGTTTATAGAAAACTTGACCAGCTTGACAGCTGGCTAAGTTTTCTTCAGTTCTTCAAGGAAGTTAAGTCAGGAACAGATCCTACAAGAACTTTATATACTATTATAGGATACAATAAGATAATTTTGAAAGTCTGTTTCTCTCTGTCTTCCTCTTATACCAAATAAATTTCTTCCTCACCCTCTTCTGGCTCTCCAGCCAATGCTGATGTTTTTGTAAATGTTGCATACCTTCTTAAAAGTTATCTCCATAGTCCTCTACAGTTTTTTTCTCCAAATCGTTCAGAATCTGGACCAGGAGCTAGTCACATTTTTTTTTTAAATAAGAGTTTTTCATCTATCTGACCATGAAATGTCTCATGTTCCTAAAAGGCTATTATGAATACCACTGATTCAACCCAGCTGCAAGTTTGAAATACAGTTGCATAATTTTCCATTTCTTGAATCAGCTTCTGATATTGAAGCTACTATTAATGTTTAAAAATGTTTTGGGTTTTCAAAGACTAAAATATTTTTCCATTGTGGTCCTAGTCATCACAGCAGTTTCTATCATATCAGTTTTTGTTAGCAGAACACAGTATATTACAATTACCCAATCTAACAACACAATCTGCAACAGGACAGAAATTTATATAAAGCTTGTTATGAACTATATAAATGAATTCATCACTTGCAAGTCTTATAAACAATTTTCCAAGCTTAATTCTTTAGAAGTTAATTAAGATAATAAATTACTCATGGATTGAGTTCTTCATATGGTGTAAAGCATCTTGTGCTACTTTGTTTAGATTTAGAACTGGAATTTTTGATACACATCTTGCCAAGTTGACAACAGCAGAGAAAATCTGATAACTCTGATTTAGTGTGTTTAAAGGGCAATTCATGTTCAATTAAGCAGCTATTCTTTCCACGCTATGTAATCTTAGATGTGCATTAGTTTGCATTTTGTAAATATGTAAGTATGGGTCAATTGCACAATTGATTACCAATCAGTCATAGCATTTCAAAATTTCCACCAAAGTGGTGGTATAAGGATCAAAAACAAAAAGGCCTGTACATGATACTTGAGTTGGAATGTATTGTATTATGAATAAGTATGCCTTATTAATGCTTCTACATTATTATTTTTGCTACCAACTCCTGGCTGAGTTTTTAATAGCTACTAATTAGCCATCCAATCAACAAACCAACTAAGGTTAGCCTGAAAATTCAAGAAAATCTTAACGAATATAACTGAAATAGATGTTGAATGGTGTCATCTCAAAGAGTTTTAGAATAAAATGAAGAGACTGTACTTCTAAAAGCTGCTACCAAGATAGACCCTATAATTTGGTAAAATTGATCCTGAGAGACAGCAATAAGATTAAAAAAACACAGTTAAAGGTACTTTTAAGCTTGCTGTGCAGTCTCTGAACTACTGAGCTATTTTTCTATGAGGCACTAAATGTTGTCCCAGCATAAGGACTGAACTAAAATTTAATGGTCATTTCAGTTGATGTTTTTAAGTGAAAAGCAACTATCATATTCTTTGCCTCTTGCAAGTAATGATTTGGATCTACCGTGCTGTATTTTCTAACTGTTTTAAAAAATATAATGCCTAAAGGGGGATAAAATTCCCAGTCTCCTAATTTCTAGTCTGATGCCTTAACCAATGCACAAAACTGGTTTTCATAATAAATTATAATACTATTTATTTTTGTTTATGAATATTAAAGAAAAAAAACAAAAAATAAAAAATAAAAAGCAACCTTGAAAAAATAATAATGTCCTCTTTCTTTATATTCCAGCTAATTTGCGGTATTCACAAACACTTAGACTGTCTTAGAAACCATGTTGTCACTGATTGTGGTTTTTTGTTTTGTTTTTTTCATTCTGCCTTATATTTAGTATAACTTTTCTTCTGGATGTATGCTGTCAATTTTGCCATTGCTGCATATCTTCCAGGTTTGGGTTTCCAATCAGATATTGTTAATGTTGTATGTTTTGTTCAATATTGGACAAAAATTAAAAGTACTATTAAGTAAAAAGTACTATTAAGAGTCCATCTAAGAACTGAACTACGATCAGTTGAACTTAAGTCCTGTTCAGATTCAGGTACATATCACTGATTTTCCTCAACATTTATATATGAGCTACAAGAAATGAATATCTATATCTATATATGTCCTGTGTGGTTTAGCCTGCCAATGTTCTTGTTTTTTTATATATATTCTGCTTATTTGGATCAATTTCCTCTTTGCTCGGTCCTTTTGCATTGTGTCCTATGCTTCTGATCATTATTTACTATTTATCTTACATCAAATTACCGCTTCCACTCTTCACCATGTCATGCTTGGAAAAAAGATAAATTTCATACATGCCCACATTTTTCGTACTTGGAAAGCCTTTGATATCATCATGGAGCCAAAGTGAAATAGATAGTGCCCCCTCCAAATTGTTAGCTGTAAACAATGACAAAGTCCTTAGCCTGGAATGCCCTTCGCCAGAATAGGATCTGAGCTGGTAAGGTAGATTAATATATCTTTATTTATGCATAAGTAAAAAGCGACACAGGTAGTCCTTGACGTAAGACCACAATTGAGCCAAACATTTCTGTTGCTAAGCGAAACAGTTGTTAAGTGAATTTTGTCCCATTTTACGACCTTTCTTGCCATAATTGTTGTCAATTGAGGGAGGGGCTATTCTGATTTGGGGAAGAAGGGAACACTGAAGGATTGAGCAGGC